CCTACGGGGCTGAGAGTTGGCACGGGGGGGGGGGTAATCGAGCAGGCTAATTACGAATACGATATTAGTTTTTGGAATTATCCGCTACTTCTATCGATTTTATCGATTTTTTGCAAAGTTTGAGCTGCGGGACTGGGAGTTGGCACAGGGGGGTAATCGAGCATGCTGATTACTAAAACAGCGGGGATAGTGATTTGGCATGTAGGCGTGGGCACAGGGGAAGTTTCTTACAGGAGTAGGGATAGTGTTCTTTGACATAGTGTTTTGACAGGGCCGGGCGGAGCCGGGTAAGCCAGCTAGTGACTAATAAGGTAAATAAGGTAGCGCACACGCCCGATTAATAAAGGAAATGAGGGAAAACCAAGCCAGCCCCAGAATGATGCCACTGGAGGGTGGTCTGGTCCTTGTAGCCTAACAGTTCTCAGAGAGTGTTACAAGGTGATCTTGAGAAAATCGCCACCTCGCAGTTGTAATTGTTGGGAATGACAGCATATTGGTACGAATTTGCGCCTGCAGGATATACTCCCAGTCTCTCACCCACCCACTTGTAGTCACAGAGGACTTGTAAACGACATGGGTTGTTATTCGTTGGAAATGCTAATATGGATGGAAGGAACCGAATAATAATGTAGGTAGACCATGTACTTCTAAATCATCAAATATAATGCCTAAAGTTCCTTTAGTTTGCTTTGATAGATCAGAATTGCATATCACAAGAATTAAGTTTAAAAACGAAATATTAAGATAGTATAGTAAATTACAAGATTCGTCCTAACAAGCAGAACGCGATGCTTTTTTCGGATTCGTATTCTATGCAAACTGAAGTTATAGGGCTGCGTATTTCGCGTGATTGGCGCGATTCGCGTATTTTCGAGCAAATAAAAATTCTAAGTGTTTGCTACAGAATTTCAAATGAGTGCGAACAGATTTACAAATACTCATTGTAACAATGAAGACAAAACGAAAAACGCGGATTGCCATTTTCTACGCTTTCCGTCCATAATTAACTTGGATACTGTACTTGTAGAAAACGTCAGAGAAGAACATTTTATTTTCAGCAACATTGATTTCTAATACAACTCTTATGAAAAGAAGACTTAATATCGAGCGCAGAGTCTAGGAATGGTGATAAAGCGACCAACAAAAGTGTTTCTCTGTAACAGTATCAACACATTTCATTACAGGACAAGCGAACAGCTCTAGATGGCTGTACATGCAAAGAAACATACATGTTTATTGGATGCACCACTGATTACCGAAAAAGCAAGGAAGCTTTCAAATTGTGTTCTATCGAGGGTTTTAGCTAATTCACACGAATATAGCCCGTAAAAACAGAAAAAATTCATTTTTGCATGTTTTAGAAAGCCAAGGGCGTCAATGTATCGCTATCAGGTCTCGATAATTATAGCCATATGGATCCCCTAGAACTGAGGTCCACCACAGATGTCAAGAGAGGATTGCATAGACGGAAATCATCGACCCGTGCTGAACACACTTCTGCGTCAGTTACGCAAGAGGCGACGTTGACGAGTGCCTGATGTCGATCTGGCGCTAATGCGCGAAAGATATGAATCTGCCAGTGGCTGTCCCAGGTTTTCCATCCGGGGGAGGGCAACAAAAAAATTTTTTGAATGAAGGTGTTGGCACTCCGAAAAAATTTTTGGGTGCTTCACAAATTCTTGCGGCACATAACCCATAAAGCCTAGAAAAAGTCAGCATAACTGCCGCCACGCCCTGAAAATTTTCTTATGAAGCTTTGGATTTTTAAAAAACCTAAAAAAATATTTTGATTAATTACAAGAATAAGTAAGTCACTTGCACATTTATAATTCATGTAAGTTAATTCAGAAATTTCGCGACCCATTCTCCCCCTCCCTCCCCTTCCCCTGCTCCACTCCCCCCGTCGGATCGCCACTGGAATCTACTTTGATTAATTTAATAGCTACGCTGCTTATAATCAGGATGGTCCCTCGATGGAACTGGGTAAGGAGTGGCTTCATTATTGCTAAAGATACTGGAGAAGATCGGGAGGTTAGGTAACGAGATGGTATGAAAAGATTTGACGGACTTTACATAGCGAACTTTGAGAATGAGCTAAAAGTTGCAAATGACCTTGTAGATTGTTATCTAAAAAGTGGGGGTCCTCAAAAAGCTGATGAATAGCGCTCGAGCTGGCGCCTAACAAATTTGCAAACATTCTTGATCCCTGTCCGAATCAGTGATGCGCTGCGAAGGAATGAGGTTGAGTTTGTCTCGGTTCGTTTATGAAGGCAGTGTCCAGGCGAGGTCCATGCTCCTCGATAAGTAGCTTGTCTACAAGAAGGCCTTCAAAGTAGGACATCTGAGTTGGTCCGGTCCTTCGACGTGGTTTCTGAATGGGACAAATGTACCCGGAACCAGCGAAAGTGCTATCAAACCACGCCCGCCCCGTCAAGCACCACCCTAGGAACTGAAAGCCGTCTGTCTTTAAGATCGGCTTCTAAAAACCAGGTTTTCTCGGAGTCATTTTGTATATTTTGCACATAACTTGTGGCCACGGAAAGGCCTCAGAATGACAAAAACGTGGAAGAGGCAAAGATTTCAGTAGATGCTGCCTCTAGATGCTGCCGCTACCCACTGTAAGTGCATTGTGATTAGTTGAGAACTTTGGAGATAACCTGTCTTACCATAACAGTGATAAAGAAAATTTTTAAAGTTGAAGTAGTAAGAATAATGACGAGAAAGTCAAAATGGCTGTGTGATAGTCGAAATCAGAAAACACTTGAGCTCTGCAAATATTGGACATAGCTCCAAGATCGCTTACCAATTAAAACTGGAGCAGCAATAAATGTGGAAAATATAGATCAACTATATAAAAATGCTCATACAGCCATGAACAACACTTCAGTACCGTACTGGAACAGAGGAGATGCCAATGTAGAGAATTACGATTGATTAAATTATCAAATTCCTTCTTGCGCGAAGAGCATAGAAATTGAAAGGCCCCATTCTGAGCCAAGACTGATCACAAATTTCGCCATGGTGCAATTACTAATAATTACAGTATACTTATAGACTTTGAGAATGCTCGAATAGCCAAAGCTTTGATTTGATTTTCACGCTCTATAAACGCAACTTTTCATTAACTCAATCCATCAATCAATTGAAACAGCTGACTGTGTGGACATAGGAGACATGATCTCTCTGAAATGCATGTCTTATGACTGCAATCAGAAGCGTTGTAGTGACCGAGCACGTCTAATGTGTTTTGATAAAGAATGCATGCGAACGTGACTGAAAGACAGAAAGAAGTTTATCAGCACGCAAAGCTAAGTCTTCAAGGTCCAAAACGGAATTGGCTTCACCACCCGAGAGCCTTAGAGGAACCGACCACTGAAATGAGGGCCTTGAGCTCTCGGCAGCTTACGATAGTGGGACCCTCTACCAAGCAAATATCTAAGTTCCGGCTTAAGATATCGCCTCGGAACAGCGGAGAGGCATGAGGACCCCTAGTCAGCACCGCCTTACTCCAGTAATGCCCGCCCATTCGTGCGCGCTCATTCACTCACCATTCCGGAGAACCGGCTTGCGGATTTTCCGATGTGGCGACTGTCGGGATTTTCGCTGCTTCTCGACTTCATAGTTGGAATCAAGGCATGAGAAGGCCACAGAAGGCCCAAAACATGGAAGTCGAGAATCTGACGAGACGGTGCCTTTGAATAGGAAAATTAATTTTGATGAGCGTGGAGCGTGGTTATTTGACCATGAACAAGTGCGTGCAGATGACGCTACTACTCAAGCAAATCCTCAAGCATCAGCTTATCCTGTAATTTGGACTTGTTCGCAATAGAAGAGCTCGTTAAATAAATGAGTCAAAGAATATTGGTCCTCAAAAGAGGAGACGAGAGGGGGCGAATGGTGCCTACATGGCCTTACATAGTCTATCAGAGTGGTTTGATATGAACAGCGTCCTTGTTGTTGCCGACAACAAATCCTAAAGAATCACCAAAAATGAATTGCCTCTAAGGTGAGGTAAATACGCGCACTGGAATTATGACTTAAGACCGAGAACGACGTCACTAAGTTCTAAATTAAAGGCTAGTCACCAAGTGAGGTTTGATCTTGAGCCACTTATATTAGATGCGTCGTCTACAATGCGTCAAGTACATGCCATGAGTATAGAATCAGATAACTTTAGAATTTTTGTTAGAAGGCTGGCCGCTAGAGTTGTTGGTCTTGTCAACAACATCAGTGAACAAAACGATAAGCATAATAGCGCACGCTCCTGTAGATAACAGAAGTGCGGGAAAAAAGCAAAGCCTTGGAATAACCTTTGCCATTATACATCTGCAGAATATGCTAGTACAGTTATTAGGTTGTAAGGAAGTTCCCGGGCACTTTTACAAATTTCATTTCTGACGCATTGTTTTGGCCGCTCGGTCGAACATTGACAAAGAGATTTCTATACTTTTCAGTAGGGAAAAGCATAAGCTTTTCAGAATCGCTCTTAATTTTTGTAAACATCAAATTATGCTTGATCTAGCCAGCAGGACAGATATATGTTGTGGATAAAATTGTCTATGCAATAAAGTTTGCTTAGTAGCTTCAAAAAAGAATGAATCTAAATTGTTTTTAACGGGCCATAAGCCCACGAATTTGCGATTTGCGAGGCCTAGCGGTAGTGAAAGGTCTGATAACTGATTTATGCTTGACTAAGTGCTGCTGGGTGGAAAAAATGATCCGACAGAGAAAGAAATTTTCAAAAGTTTCTTGGAGGCGTTTTGGAATATTTGTTGGAGAGAACAAACAAGAAAAGGCACTTATCTTAGCTTGGCCTTTTCGAAAAAGACATATTAAATCGTTTGTTTCAAAGCCGAATCACATGGCTGTCACTGACAGATGGCTCGACTAGATTAAAATTATATTCCGAACTGGCTGTTTACATGTCCACTTATGATTTCATACTGTGAGAATTTACTCATATTTATGTCGCTCTATGTAATCTTTATTATGGGAGTTGTCTAAACGACGCATAGACCTTCAGAACATCCTCCTGGGCACTTCGAGCACGGTGTTCCTGTTTCGTAGATCTTGGCGTTCAGCATGTTTCCTCTGAATTAGTTGCTCTGATGGTAAGCTTACTAAAGCAGCCTTACTTACGCTTCCTTATAATTGCAGACAGCCAAGGACATCTTAGGGCAGCTTTGAACAGCGCAACCAATAACTTTTGTAGACTGCCAGACCATCTAAATTGAGTGTTTATTCATGCGAAGCGGTGACATCGCCTTAGCTGGTTGCGTGTTTGCTGCAGGCGAAGACTTATTAACTATACCGAGCTGTTCATGATGGCGCGAAGCAAATGCACCAGCAGAGCATGATTCTGCGCCAGCAAAAACTTTAGTACTTTGACTATCTTTGGATAACACCCGATGGTGGTGTGTGTTTGTGTTCGCTCAGAGAACTATTAAGGAAAACGATAATGCAGTAATGTCCACCTGTGTGTAGTGCCCAACATGATTGTTGAATAGTTTCATGCTAAAGGTGAGGTCTTTGCCAACTCCCTTCTGAGCGAGTTCCCCAAACCATGATCTTGAAGCCTGGAATGATACCAATTGTTTTGTTCAAAGAAACAGGCACCGTGTCTATTCTCACATCCTCGGCAGCTTTTACTGGGTCATAAGCTGCGCTGCTCATATAGATGTTTTCTCCAAGACCTTTAGTGTTTGAGTGCTGAAAGACACACTTGGCAGCGTGTTTCACAGCGTATTTCTCCACATCGCAGTCGTACTTCTGGAATAGCTCACTATTACTTGTCGGCCATCATCATGATTGACAGTAAAAACACCAGTTTGTTCATCGCAGCAGCCCTAGGAGCATAATCTCCATAACCGTCTTTGGCTTTTCCATTAGCCACCAGCGACCTGTATGGATAATTATTGTAAATCTCAAAAAGCGGAGAAAGCTTTCCAGTATATTCAATACCTTAACTCGTTGTGAACGTCCAAAAACTTTTGACGGATCTGATCGTTCATGCCGCCATTGCTGGGGCAAATGCCTGGTAAAGATGGGAATGATTTTTTGAGGAATGAATGGCACAAAGAGATACCATACCTGCATAAGCAGTTGCGATGAGGCAGACCTAAAATGTATGTTAGGTATCTCACTCAAGAACAGAGGGATCGCTACTTACCAAAAGAATAGAACGCATCTTGTATATGATGCTGATCCGGAGTTGCTGCTGCTTTTATGCACGTTGTGACCTTTTACCCTTTTGACGTCGATCATAAGCTGTGTCATCTTTCCTATGTCATTTTTCATCGAGTAATAGGGTCTATTATTGAAATCTGTTATCATAGCTGTTCCTCCCAAGCAAAGTGAATTCTTATGTCATTAGAACATTGGTAGCAAAAAATACCAATGAAGCCATTGATGACGTCGACTGATACTGAAGCAGATCTGGGGTATCGCCGAAGCAAGAAATAATGTTTGCATTAGCTTGATAGGCTCTGAAATGTTTCCGCATTCGGAGAGAGAACGGCGCTTCTGTCTGAATACAGGACAAGGTTTGAAGTAGTTGGATCTCCGATAAACAAATTGCATTCCATTTGACATTGCAATCTGTGTGTGACCCTTTGTGCGAACCGCTCCGCCGCTCGTTCAAGTGCATCGGTTGCACCCTAAACTCACTGCGTCCGTTCGGAATGCACAAATTTCGAGGCTTTATTGTGCAGGTTTTCTATAAAAACTTAGAGCCCTTCTATTAGAACCTGCTAGCAAAGGAATTACCTTCGAACCTGCTCGCGCGGGCTCAAGCGATTTATTTCGTCTTCTGTAGTGTCACTGATATGTTCGTATTAAGCCATCTTCTAAAGTTTTACCAAGATGTCCTTCAGCTGTTCTTTAATCTTCCCAAAAGACTTTTACTAATTTTTATGTGCCTGGATTGGTATCCGAAGAACTTTTTATTGCAGTATTGCAAAGTATTGCATAGACGATAGCCAGGATTTGCTTCAATAACAGTCAGCATTATCAATGGCTTCACTGGTTTTTTGCTACCAATGTTCTATTTGACATCAGAATTCACTTTGCTTGGGAGGAACAGCTATGATAACAGATTTCAATAATAGACCCTAATACCCGATGAAAAATGACATAGGAAAGATGACACAGCTTATGATCGACGTCAAAAGGGTAAAAGGTCACAATGTGCATAAAAGCAGCAGCAACTCCGGATCAGCATCATACACAAGATGCGTTCTATTCTTTTGGTAAGTAGCGATTTCTCTGTTCTTGAGTGAGATACCTAACATACATTTTAGGTCTGCCTCATCGCAACTGCTTATGCAGGTATGGTATCTTTTTGTGCCATTCATTTGTCAAAAAATCATTCCCATCTTTACCAGGCATTTGCCCCAGCAATGGCGGCATGAACGATCAGATCCGTCAAAAGTTTTTGGACGTTCACAACGAGTTAAGGTATTGAATATACTGGAAAGCTTTCTCCGCTTTTTGAGAGTCTACAATAATTATCCATACAGGTCGCTGGTGGCTAATGGAAAAGCCAAAGACGGTTATGGAGGTTATGCTCCTAAGGCTGCTGCGATGAACAAACTGGTGTTTTTACTGTCAATCATGATGATGGCCAACAAGTAATAGCAAGCTATTCCAGAAGTACGACTGCGATGTGGAGAAATACGCGTGAAACACGCTGCCAAGTGTATCTTTCAGCACTCAAACACTAAAGGTCTTGGAGAAAACATCTATATGAGCAGCGCAGCTTATGACCCAGTAAAAGCGGCCGAGGATGTGAGAATAGACACGGTGCCTGTTTCTTTGAACAAAACAATTGGTATCATTCCAGGCTTCAAGATCATGGTTTGGGGAACTCGCTCAGAAGGGAGTTGGCAAAGACCTCACCTTTAGCATGAAACTATTCAACAATCATGTTGGGCACTACACACAGGTGGACATTACTGCATTATCGTTTTCCTTAATAGTTCTCTGAGCGAACACAAACACACACCACCATCGGGTGTTATCCAAAGATAGTCAAAGTACTAAAGTTTTTGCTGGCGCAGAATCATGCTCTGCTGGTGCATTTGCTTCGTGCCATTATGAACAGCTCGGCATAATTGATAAGTCTTCGCCTGCCGCAAGCACGCAACCAGCTAAGGCGATGTCACCGCTTCGCATAAATAAACACTCAATTTAGATGGTCTGGCAGTCTACAAAAGTTATTGGTTGCGCTGTTCAAAGCTGCCCTAAGATGTCCTTGGCTGTCTGCAATTATAAGGAAGCGTAAGTAAGGCTGCTTTAGTAAGCTTACCATCAGAGCAACAAGTTCAGAGGAAACCTGCTGAACGCCAAGATCTACGAAACAGGAACACCGTGCTCGAAGTGCCCAGGAGGATGTTCTGAAGGTCTATGCGTCGTTTAGACAACTCCCATAATAAAGATTACATAGAGCGGCATAAATATGAGTAAATTCTCACAGTATGAAATCATAAGTGGACATGTAAACAGCCAGTTCGGAATGTAATTTTAATCTAGTCGAGCCATCTGTCAGTAACAGCCATGTGACTCGGCTTTGGTGTTTTTCAAAAGATACATTCTGATCATATATTAAGTGAAATCCTAGTACAATATTACGATAGGACCTTCATTTTAGATAATAAAAATCATGCGATATGAAGTTAGACAGGAAAAAATCTCAAAAGTCATTTGCAAATTAGGGAGTGGATCGAAATGATTCCATGGCAAGACCATGGAATCATTTTGATCTATTGACCCAGAAAACGGTTTTTTCGATGTATTCAAAAATAAAAATATAACTGGATATATCTGCATTCTGAACCCAGCAATTTCTACCACTTTTGTGCTATCAAAAAACCAAAAGCGATTCCTCAGCGATTGCCGCTACTCCGATATTACCCAAGGTGTAAATATTACACAATTTTGGACTGCTACGAGGATGCTTCTCATATGAGGATGACCCAAAAGCGGTTACAGCTAGAAATAGATACTGAACGAGTTGTAATTTGCATTGACATTATCTTACAGCAATCCATGTAAAATCTTTTAGTTGCCATAAGCTGAGTGAAAACCTGGAGGACACGAATAATTCTGCTTAGACGCGCTACGCAACCGCCTTTACGTGGTCACTTTTTATAATTGAGTAAAACTTCAGCTATCAAGTCACAGGTATACATGCGTAATCTTATTAGCCGTATAGACATTCACATATCTGTTCTATTTGCATCATTACAATATGTACATGAGACTATTCTAAGAGATTCAAAATATCCAGTCCTATAAAAAAATCATTGAGCGACTACTTGATATAATCTTCAAGGAAAGCAAGATCTTGAATGAACATCTGCTGAAATCAAAACTTTTCCAAACTTAGCCTATCGGGATTTAAAAGAAACGTTTTTGCAAAGAAATGTGAACTTTCATAGTTACAAAGCAATAGGCAGTTGATACAAAACACTAGTGTAGACAGTAGAGGATTTGTTATGGAACGAGACAATAGCAAAACCACCAAATTCGAAACCTTATTCATATCATGTGCATTATGAAACAAAGCCCGACGGTCCTCACTTTTTCAGAATGGAACAAAAAAATGGATTATCGTCCGCCAATTGTGCTTATTCCAGCGTAGGACTGCTCAGATAATTCAAGTCTCTCCTCTGCCTCTAAAATTGAAAAATTACAATAAACCGGGCAGTCAATCGACACTAAACAGAAAAATGTCCTTCCGAGTTTTTTAGTTACCTCACTCAGGTGGGCAAAGCTTTTTTGAATTTTTTACACATGGTTTTTTTTTCACGAAAGACATGTGTCACAACTTTGAAATAAAAATTCCAAAATTCCTCCCCTAATCTGAGGATGATGATTCGAGTTAGGAAAGCAGCAATATGACGGGGACTTGAGTGAAACAGGAGATTTATCAGAAGTGACATAAAGGAAACTAGATTATATGAACTGCCCTACGGAATCTAGTAAAGATAAACTTACCGTGCTGATAGTACTTGTTGTTTTCCAGAATGTCCAAGATTTTCTCGACTTTCGCAGCAAATCTATCCTTATATATTTATTCGATTTGTGCTTTGTCAATCTATGAGCATACAACGTAGTTTACGCTTCCTGAAAAGAGAAATATTTTTTAAAAGCGCTGCACAAGCGAAAGAGAAAGAAAGATAGACCGCACTTATTTGCATCAGAGGGCTTGTTCTGCAACTATCTTGTTTCGTAGATACTGATGCACTGATAATTTCAAGCGCATAATTTGGCCAGAAATGAATTTTTCAACTTCATTTTTCCGCCTCCAAAAATATTAAACGCATTCTTGGTTTTTCGCCAACAGCTTGTCTTGCATTCAAGCCTGGAATGCATGATTATTAAGGTCTATGTGGAGCGAGATAGCGAAAGACATACCCGTACCGGGATCTAGAGGTAAGCCCAACTGGGCTACTAGATCACTTGCCAGGTTCTTGCTCAGATTCCACCGATGAATTTGGAGAAATTTGGTGGTAGAGGTGCTCTCGTGGTATCGTAACTTTGGATCGGTAGCTCGGAACATCCAGTGACGATCGCGTGCCTATAGACGAAACCGACTCGAGCGGCGAAGTCGTTGTGGCTTCATATTTCGATGAAGACGACAGCCAGTAGGTAGGACGCGTCTGTTCCCATGGCGCATCTCTGGAAGAAAGGCATGAACTCGAAAACTGCCCCGGTTGAACACATTCCGAAATCGTTATGCAAAATTCAGGTTACGCTAATTACTTGTTGAATAAGCTGCTTACCTAATTGGTATTTTTACCAGATTTGACCGAGAACGTGGTTGAGAGAGTGATTTCGAAGGAAATTGGCGATTGGATCTAAACAAGAGCTTCCATTAATTACACTATTGCTAATAATTCTCGCCCGATATCAAACCTTTTCAAACGCAGGAAAGCTATGAGGACACAAGCGATGCCAAGCGATGAAATGACAGCAGTTCCTGCCAGAACCAGCATGGATAGAGGCATGATGGTGTCGTCTCCTAACAACCGCATAAATACTGAAGTCGGATCTGCTGACGGGACATCATCGGGCAACTGTAAAATTCAAACTTGTGTGGTGTTTTGTGATCATATTGTGATGACACAGTAGGTGAGATTCCTCACAGGGAACTCGTGATTACTCGCACCAGGGAGGCATACTACCTAAGTTGTTCAGTCATTCGTGTAAAATATTGGGAGGTCAATGTCGCCTCTGCAGGTGCGAGCTGAGAAGTTTCCTGTGCCCATAGACAAAAAGTCAACACTATAATAATTGCGATTCAATCGCTAGAAAAGTAAGCCCTGAATTTGTAGAATGCGTGGGAGAGAAAATAATATAATGGGCAAAAAAGGAGAACCATCAAGAAATGACAAATTGGTGGCATTTACTCGCTGACATTGATGCACATTTAAATCCACCTCCTTAGACCGTCATGTATGCAGATGATGTGCTCCTGATGGCAAGAAGCAGGAAGGAATTGGAGACAGACGTAGCAATATGGAAAGAACAGCTTGAACTACACGGTCTGAAGATCAACACCGCCAAGACAGAATACATGAAGCTGGGACTTCAAACGCCAGAGACGATCCAGATTGCAGGCACGCAGATCAAGAAGACCACGTCCTTCAAATACCTAGGAAGTCGCATCGCGGCAGACGGCACGCTCGAAGACGAAATAACCAGTCGTATAAACGCAGCATGGCTGAAATGGAGAAGTCTCACAGGAGTGCTATGCGATAAAAGGATGCCGCTCAAGCTGAAATCTCAGATGTACCGCACTGTCATCCGCCCAACTGCGCTGTATGGAAGCGAGTGTTGGCCGTGCACACGCAAGGATGAACGAAGGCTTGGAGTGATGGAAACCCGCATGCTCCGATGGGCGATGGGTGTCACGCTGCTCGACCACGTCACTAATGATACCATTCGCGCAACGATGAAAGTGGCCCCAATAACCAAGAAAGTGCAAGAAGGGAGGCTTAGATGGTATGGCCATGTCAGAAGGCGAGAGGAAGAACACATCACCAGACTAGCGATGTCAGTAGAGGTTCCCGGCAGACGACCAAGAGGAAGACCTAAGTTGCGATGGACAGACAAAGTCAAGTCAGATCTGAGAGAGCTTGGAATAGATGAACGTCAAGCATTAGACCGTGAAACATGGAGGAGACTAATAAGAGTGGCAGACCCCGTATGGGAATAATGCAAGGCTAAAAAAAAATTGATGCACATTTAAGAGTTCCAAAATTCAAAATCGTTCTTAGGAGTTCATGATATCACTGAAGTTAGTGTTAGATCGTACAATTATAAGCTTCCGGATAACCATACTCGTCAAAACCTGACATTTTTGGTTTTTAAAACTTATTTTCTTATGTATGGGAAGCAAAAAGCCCTCAAAATATGTACAAAACCATAAAAAAATTTGAAACTCCACCGTTTGCTGAACTACAGTCACTTCTGATGGATCAGGACACCATGGACATCTCTCTTTATGTTTATGAACAGCTATGGTGACATTGAAGCACTTGGCTCGCATCTCAATCAGCTTGCCCAACTCCTCTTCCGGGTGAGATGTGGTGATTGTGGCCAGCTGAGGCCGATTACAGTCCTAAACGCATTCGAAATACTACCAACAAAATTTATGGCGCAAATGCAGCTGTTTTTCGACAGTGAAAATTAGCGAAACTCGAGCTGTGATTAATAACTGCGAGTTTCTAGCTTACAGATGCATTGTCCTTAAAAACACAGATCGAGGCAGTTTGATCGCAGATTCGTGGAAAGCCATAGGTCGGATCGATTCCAACCACTTGGCAAGAGAGTATCAAATCCTCTGGGATGCCCTTTGCCCAATGGGAAACAAACGGGCGTGAATAATCCTAAAATATAATTTGGGGAATCGTAATACTCACGGTGGGGTGAGCCCAGTGTTTTCCAAACTGTTCCGAGAGCACTATTGGGTCAGAAATTTGTGCTCTCAGGGCATAATGGTTATCTAGCACATCTCATGGTAGCGCTAGAACGGCAAAATAAGCCTGTACCTTACGATATGCCCAAACCCCCGTTATCAGTAAGCAAAATACTGGACTCGGTCGGGGATGTATAGGATGCAATAATTATTCACTAGCGCGAGAGCTACAGTATCTCCAAGGCTTTGGCAGTAAAACGCTCCAGGTGTTATCGTAATACAGCGGTATACATTGTCTTCAAAACTTTGGCCGCTGAATGCCCTCATAGATGCTATCGTAATAAACTGATATCAAAGTCGGCATACAAAAGGTATACAAGTCCATAAAAACCTCAAATGCGGAAGAACAATGCTGGCGAATGCAGTGCGGAACATCGTTAATCACAATTAGACGACGCCATTATGCACGGTAATTGACAGAGATTGTGGCGGATGGATCAAAGGGACAGAATGATTGAGAGGTATTTCTGGAAAAGGAATATTTGGTCACCTGCTCAAAATCCTCGGAAACTGGCCAGCTAATAGAAATTTTCTCTTTGAGTGGGAGCATATTTTTGAGAATCTGAAAGCATCTGCGTCTGGAGCCAAACCCAAATATTTATGGAGCTCAAGTTTCTTCGAAATACCTTGAATCTTGGATGGGAGCAACCAGCGGTAGTTAAGCATCCCTCCCTCCAATCCACTCGTAACAGTTCTGCGGTCATCCAAAATGATTCCGCCAGAATAACAGGTAACAAGGCCAAAAATAGCAACATCTGTTAATTATCCACTTTTGTAACCAGCTACGCTATTTAGTATTTATCTAAAGGTGAACATTGAGTAAACAACATCTAATAGTTCAGGGATGCACCCTACAAAAGAGCAGAAATGAGTGGGCCCTCCCATTTTCCGCATCTCCTCCCACATAATTATAGATGCACGCAACGAGAGAAAAGCCAATCCGATGCACCCTTCAAAAAGAGGGGGAGATAACTGGGCCCTCCCATTTTTCGTATCTCCTCCCAAATAATTATGGATGCACAGAACGGGGGAAAAGCTTTGATCGATTCATCATTCTAAATCGAAAGAGAGCTGTCGGGCTACTAATGACCCAATGCAGATAAGGAGGATATGGATTACAAACGGGGAAATGAATGATTGGGACTTAATTTTATAGAAGCAGCTATATTTCATTCAGATTGAGATCAACATGAGTTGAGGCGCCGTACCAGCTCCACAATTTTTTTTTTACAAAAATGAGTTTCGTTATGACATCTTCAAAAAACGATATATGAGCTTGATATCTTAATTCGAAAGTCCTCAGAAAAAGTCGTTGCAGTCAAATGACAACTGGAACAAAATGCGAGGTGGAGCTCAAGAATATCCGAAAATGACATTGCTATCGAAATCCCACACCTAGAGTACGCTAACTGTCAACACCTGAGATCTTAGCCATCTAAACCTTGACAAATTTGGATATTCGAACGGTTTGTGGGCTTCTTCCGGAAACTTATTCCGCAAAAAAGGAAAGCAGATTTGGAGTCAGCGTTCAAAGGCGCATTTACTGATATAAATCTCATTTTCAATCTCCGACTAATGTTGGTATCCTTCCCTTGTTAGTATATGGATCAGGACCGCTAAGTAGACAACGAATCTCGCTCGAGTTGAGTGAAACGATACGTGAATGGAAACGAGCTGTTACTGTGCCTACTGAATCATCACCTTCGCGTAATCAAGAGGCTACAAGCGATGACGTAAGGCCTCACGAGAGTTTCTTAGAACAGTGACATTGACTGGCGTGGCCAAGGTGGTGGAGGCTATGCAAAGGTGAATAGATGATGGATTAGCAACGGATACGGTCTCACTCTCGCTTATGCCTTTTTCAAGCAGTATCCGTAGGATTTGCTGGAAGCGACTGGAAAATTGAAAATAGAAACTGAATGAGAAACAAAACGTCCTACTGTTAACCGCAGGACCGCTCATTTACATTCATTCAAGTTTTACAAATTGATTACAAAATAAGTGCCAGTCCAAATATGAAATGCAACGGCTATCAAACCTAGATTTCATGCTTGAAAAGTATCCTGGTGTCGAAATTTGGACTGAATTTTCTATTCGTTCAGAGTAAGCGATTCATAAGGAAAAGAACGGGAAAACAGTGACGTCAGCAGATTGTGCCAAGTTTTGAAAAAGAATAGCACATCCATTAGAGTGGAATACTTTGCATTTTCATCTAAGGGGCAGTAGAAGAATGAGTTTGAGGCGAACGAAAATGAACGAGAAAGAACATTTGCACAAGGAAAAGCAATGAGAAGTAGTCGGCACAATGAAAGCCAGTGGATTGGAGTATGCGTGGGTCAAGAGACGTAGCCGCTCGGCTAACGCCGTGTCAGTACAGTGACAGATAAATCTTCTTGAAAGCAGTGGACAAATCGTGGAAGCATGTGCAGATTATAAGAGCGATCCAAGTAGAGTGCAATCATGCGTGAATGGCTGAGCGCGAGGTGTTACGATGCTTATTAGATCATCATCTTCGCGTAAATGAGGGGCTATTGACGCGCGGTAACTCAGACCTTGCAAGAGTTTCCGAGATTAATGACGCTAATAAAAGGGCGTGGTCCAGCCGGCGAAGGTGTGAAGATGGTGTGAGGGTGAATAATCATCAAGTAGGATAACAGAGATATTGGCCCGTAGTAAACTACCGTCAGGGCATCTCCCCTGAGGCGGACCGGAGTTGATATCTTGGCGCCTCAGTCCAGCATCCGGCGGGCTATTGATCTGGATGCAGATCGCTTCCTGGACATTATAATCAAGTGCGTTCTTGAAAAAAGAACCACTTGAGCTGGTTTGGTTAAATGGGTAAGCCATTGGAATTACACGCGCGCGGCCGTGGTTCAATTCCGCCTAGCGACACAACTTTTGCTGCATCGCCGGGCAATCTTTGATAGCGGCCACTATCCAATCGATGATGACCGCTATCAAGGATTTCGCCTAGCAAACGTAAAGATAAAACAAAAAAACATTTCGTTACGAAAATTTTGCGACAAAACGAAATGGTTGCAACGTGAATTTGATAAAATGAACAGCTGAGTCCTCGTTTTGGACAGCTTTAAAAAAACCAGTTAAGTTTACAAAAAAGAGAAAAATTTGTTTTTTTCTGTCTTACTCGCCAAAATCAGCTGTTCATCGATCCTCTCCTTTTCGGGCGCGGTTGTGCAACTTTGCGCCGATTTTGTCCGCAGTGTTAGGCAAATTGCTGTGTATCGTAAGTTACTCAGGAGCAACTTACGAAGATTTTCTCTGCGTTTCCTCTTTAGCACACTATTTCTGGACATCATCGCTCATATCATCTCCCATGACCCGGCAGGGAGATCATCTCCCTGCCGAACTTCACCTGAGGCTCACCTCTCAGGTGAAGTTGCATCCCTATAGCACGGGGAAATGGGCGGTCGTCATTTTACTGACAGAACCTCACATGAAGGTCTCAGGGGAGATAATCTTCCATGACCGAGCTTTACTACGGGCCATTGTCTCGCATCCTTTATGTTTCTTTGGATGCAGAAAACATAGCCATGTTAAACGAAGTGTAGCGTCTGCACCTCCAAATCAACTCTTTGTGTGAAGGGGAACTTAACAGCAGCATTCGAGCTAATTTTGGTTCTTGAGTGAAATCTAGGCTTTGTTTCTCCGCCATCTACTTATTTCAATGGCTTGCGCTGAAAACAAAAGGAGAAGCAGAACTGGCGCGAAAGTGGTGCTCTTCATGTACACTCTAAAAAAGGGAGTAAATTCGAAACGCATGCTCTTTTCACAGTACTTTGATCTTATTACATAGAACTAGGGTCAACTACTCGCCGTTTCAAAGAAAAAAACAAAACTGAGTAGAAGGTATCATTTGTGACGCTATACCGTATGTCTTGCCCGCCTGCCTAAAAGTCGAACAGATGGTTTTTTTTGTGAGTTTGACGATTGCAGATAATGATTCTGCACGATAATGGCTGCCACAGACATTCAAATCAAGTAAAGAATATTGCATTTTCCTTATTACTATTAATGTTTTGTCACGCCATAAATTTTAAAAATTTTAGAGTTAGGTCATCGGCAGACTTTGAATGTCATTCCAATTTGCTTTAAAGAGCCACTAACATAGTACTAGACCATCCGAGATGTTTTTGTATCACTGATCTATCGAATATTTTCGTACACGAGTCTAAAATGTTTTTCACGTGATCTTTAAATACTTGTTTGTGCGCTTCATTGTAAGTGTAGAAGAGGTGCAGGAAGAAAACTACGGAAGTTTTGCATCTGGAAGAAGATGATAGAGTTGACTATTTCAGATCGGTCACATACCTAACGCATTGATAAAATGGGGGAACGGCTCTTTCAAACTGTTACGATACGATTCGCAGTTTTCGTACAAAAGACGCACAGTCGTCCGATATCACCGTAGTGACCTACTCAGCGTGCTTATTCACTTCATTCACTGCGTAACGTAGTGAAAGAAGAAAATCTGAAAAGATAGTTGGATTCTGACCTCCTACTGTGTTGAAGCAGGCGTTTCTACATATCTGAAGATGGGTGCCGAGCAGAGTTGAATGATGCCCATGGAATAAGAACAATAATAATAATAATAATAATAATAATAATAATAATAATAATAATAATAATAATAATAATAATAACATCCATCCCAGAGCGGCAAGACTTGATTTCATTAAATAAGGATAATAATGGTTCCTTCTTCTTTCTCTTTCCCGGTACACCCTGAGAGTTTTGGTAAACAAAAAATACATGTTTGAAAGAGAATAATATAAAACAGTTATCCGCATTAGTTTACAGCTGCGTAAGAGCTTCGCTTGAAAATTTCTTTTCAAAACTTTT